CATTATATTGTTCTTGGGAGAATGAAAGAAAAGAAACATAAGATGAACAAAAGGAGAAACTGCAGACAAATGGTAACATCCATGATTTGTTGTGCTAAGCTAGGCTACGCCTGGAAGGTGGACCTGGAGAGATTCCCCAGTGAGAGGAACCCCTCCACCTCCCTGTGTTTAATACAATACTGCTGAACCAGCAGAGAGTCGACCCCTTACTGACATGAGAGCCTCCAGTCTGCAGTCTGGACTCTCCAGAAGATCTCTCAGCAGCTCCATTCCTGAATCCTGCAGCATGTTGACACTCAGGTACAGACCTCTCAGATGTGAAGGGTTGGACTTCAGAGCTGAGATCAGAGCAGAACAGCTGATCTCTGACAACCTGCAGCGCTCCAGACTGAATAAAGAAAACATGATGTAACTTTAGAAAGCAACGTTCCTAGAAAGGGCGCTAAAGTCATTTCTGGCCCCGCCTACTTTCATTAGAGCGAAGTGTAAAATAATAGTGTCTTAATGTCTTAAAGCTGCTGAGTCATATACTGCACCTCAAACAACAAATAAATCCAGAGTTACAGTTTCTTTACTTCCTCTACAGAAAAAAGGACAGTGAAAGAAACTCAGAAATCTCAGTTTCAGATGAAGCCTGCTGCAGACCAACCGGACATCCAAGGAGATAATAAGGTTCTCTAAGGTTTAATAATCGGTGATAATCGGTGATAAGAAGATGCAATTACAGTATGTATACAGATTTCATTGATCATGAGAAATGTGAATAAAAATAGCTCACAGTTTAGATTGTTTAGATTTCAAAATAAGGATTGCATTATCTGTAAATAAATCCCATAAAACAATACATCATTACAAATAACATGAAAGGAACAATGTGAACTTGGTTCAGGCGGCATCCAACTATTCAGGTCACTCACAATAACTTGTCGTGTAAAGGTCATCGCTTTCAGCAAGCCACAGTTGGTATAGTTAAAATAATCCTTGTAGCAATTCACTCTCAACACTGCACTCTGCTTCCAGTCAATTAGCCTTCAACTGAGTCCAGCAAAAGCTTCACATGGATAGTTTGCCGCCCACTCATGGCTTCTGTACATTTGCACTCTTCTCTTTGTTACAGTAATCATACGGGAACAAAATATATTTCTAAAACATGCTTTGAGGAAAAAGATCAGTTGTTTCCTTGCTTGGAGCATAAGTTAAATGCATTTAAAAGTGGTAGTGGTGGTCTAATGGATAGTGAGGTGGGCTGAAGATCGGTAAGGCACTTAGCCCTCAGTCACTCCAGGGGGAATGTCTTGGTCATTGTAAGTCGCTTTGGATAAAAGCGTCAGCTAAATGCAGTGGCGAGCCGTGAGCTTTATACCTAGGCCCTCTGACCCCCACCCCTTCCCCTCGAAAAAAAAAAAAAAAGAGTTATTACGACACAGCGTATACTTCAGCGGAATATCAAAACAACGGCCCAGGGTGCAAAACGCATCAATGACAGCGACCCTCTACCACACAAAACAACACCTGTGAACCCAATTTGTGTTCTTTGACATTGAAAATGATATTGCATTGTGTTTGTTACTTTCGTTGCAGTTGTAATTTGGCATGCTTTTATTTTGAAGGCGAGTTCACGCTGTTGACAGGAAGTTGTTGTTGCTATGGAAACAAGAAAAGTTTCACAGCGGGCGGAACTTGTCATCTAGTCCGCGATAATAAAACCCACCCATTTAGAGGGAAGATATGATTGGTCAATTGTACTGTCCTTTGACATTACTCTCTCGTTCAGTTACTATAGCGGGCCCTCTGTGAATCGCAGAGAGGGCCAGGTGAGCTTCTTTCATGTAACCCACATTCAAACAGAGACTGAACAGGCAGATTCGAAGGATTTATTTATTTGGAAATGTTATTTTATTAAATCAAGTTTTTTTTCGGTAAAACTAATGAAAAATATAACAAAAATAATATTAAAAAAATATATATTTAATTTTTTTTTTTCTTTTTTAATGTTTTTAAATATTATTTTTGGGAATATCTTAGGCCCTCACAGAGGGCCTAGAGGGCCCTGACGGCTCGCCACTGGCTAAATGAAATGTAATGTAATGTAATGAGTCAAAGATGGATTCCCCAATAACTACTCGAAGCAGCCAACCGATGTTCTGTAACAGACAGAAGTAACTGTGGATTGAGTGGAGCTGGCTATTTTGAGGTATGGCCTCCTGAGGGGAGAGTGCTGTCCGGCTGGAGCAAGTTGGCCCTCGATAATGTTTTGTCTGATGGTCTGTCTTCTCAGGGTATTGTGGGCGCTCCATGCTGCCCTAAATGCATTTGCTGCAGGGAACATTCGGGGCTGTTTGGACGAAGATTGTGAGAAATCAATCTCCAAGTTTGCTGATGCTTCTGGGCAGAAGGTGACGAGATAATGTACGACTGTCTCTATATAGTTATCAAGTGCATTATCTTTTTTTTGTGTTGCCTAAATCCACGTTTCTCTTGTTTGAACTTTATAATGACACGCCAATGTTTCGGCAGATACCTGGATAATGCCTACAATCATATATTTAATTTATGTTATATACAATCAGAATCATTTAATAATAATAAATAATATCTCTAAGGTTTAATAATCGGTTTCAGAGCTCAAAATGGTTTTAATGTCAGCAATGATGTGGAAAACCCCCTCTCCCACTCCGGCCTCCCTCTACCTGCTCCCTCCTCCAGCTCACCTGTGGGAAATCCTTTCCCCCATGAACAAAGAAGCTGGCTGGCCTCATGCAACTCCTGAGAACCAATCGTTTGAGTAAATAATCAGTACGTGTTCCTTTCCTTTGTATTGTATGTTCATAGCAGCTCCAGTAGTTTACCTCCCTATTTTCTGTACCGTTTAGATTTGGTTACTTTATTTCTACATTACATATAATAATGTAGAAAGATAACTGCTTTGCTGGAGTATCATTTGAAGTATGAATGTTATGTTTGAACTAACTAAGATGTGTTGTACTTTCCTACCAGATCAACCAGACAACAATTAAGACAAACAAGAATCAACAAATTACAATGAAACAATGATCTGGAACTCCTGCCTCCATGTGCTCATCTTTAAATCCACTGCGTTGACTGTTTAGTCCTTGAACCAACCACCCTCACCACCCTCCATATTCTTCAAAGGATGTAGATTCAAAACAATTGATAAGCTCAAACTCTCTGCAGCAGTTTTTCTCAGCAACATCTTTGACCTCCTTCATCTCCCTCACAGCTCATCAGTACTGACAGCATCTTCACTGACTCATGGAGCACAGTGAGAGTGAAGGCTGAAAGGATATCTCACATGAGAGCGGTTTGGACTTCAGAGTCACACATTTACTTTCTCTGCTTTTTGTTTGGTCTTTAAAATACTCAGCCATTTAGAAAGAATATAAAATAATGTAAATGTCTTTGAACTCTTAGTACTAAACTCTGGAATTAGAAATAATATAAATGTTAAATAAATAGAAATCCACATGAACTACAGCCAGTGATCTGACCTGAGAGTCTCCAGTTTACAGTTTGGACTCTTTAGTCCAGAACTCAGCATCTCCACTCCTGAATCCTGCAGCTTGTTGGCACTCAGGTCCAGCTTTCTCAGAGGGGAGGGGTCGCACTTCAGAGCGGAGGCCACGACTTCACAGTCAGAGTCTGAGATTCCACAGTTAGGAAATCTGCAATGACACATATATTACAGCATGTTATTATAAAACAAGGGGAAACATTACATTTACTTCATGCATTTGTTGAAAAAACATTTTGAATATAATGTTTTGAATAATAATAATGTTAGTAATTAATATTTTATTGAGTTTGCTGTAAGCCTTTTCAGTGTGATCTGATCCCATGTTTGTCCCGTCGGACCTACCTTCTGCTGTCAGTGAACAGAAATTAAACAAATCGACAATATAAGAGATGTACATAATGAAAAGTTAATATATTTGGATGTGCATGACACTGAATGCATCATGTGTTGGCTTCTCAAAGCGTCTAAGAATGTATAATGCACACAAACATATTGAACAAACCAATAAGTTTACATTATTTTCAACAAAGCACCATGAAAAAGATGTTATCTGTGTATCAGCGTTAAAACACAATCTGACCTCTGTTCTTGGTGGGATTATGTAGGTCTTGTTTTAAAAAGAGTCAACATAAATCAGATATTACTCTGTGTCTGATTTAACTATTAAGAAACTGCAGTAATGTAATAATAACTTTACTGCATTCACTGATATCTGTGAAATACTGCTGTATGTTGTGATCACATGTTGCTGTGATAAATCATAAGTCCTTAAGAAAAATGAAGAAAATAAAAAACTGAAACATTTTTAATTATTAGAATAATTACATTTATCTTTCACAGTATTTGAAACAGCAAAAAGTTGAATAGTGTTTATTCGAAAACTAAACTTAATATCTACATTAGTTTATAAAGTTAATCACATCTGGACTCACATAGCCTCGCTGCAGTCCATCAAATCTGGAATCACTCTCTGTCGTCCCTCCTCTGATGTTCCGTACTTCTCGTGGTCCAACTCATCCAGAACCTCCTCTGACATCTGCAGCATGTAGGCCAGAGAAGACAAGTAGATCTCTGATGGGTTCTCTGACTTCAGGAACTCTGTGATCTCCTGATGGACTGAGTGGTCCTTCATCTCTGTCAGACAGTGGAAGATGTTGATGCTCCTGTCAAGAGAGATTTCATCACTGTGCATCTTCTTCAGGTTGTTGATGGCTCTCTGGATGGTTTCTGGACTGTTGTCTGTGCGACCCAGCAGGCCTCCTAAGAGTCTCTGGTTGGACTCCAGAGAGAGGCCGTGGAGAAAGCGGACAAACAGGTCCAAGTGGCCATTTTCACTTCTGAGGGATTTCTTCATGGCTCCCTCCAGGAAGACATCCAGGGATGGGTAATCCTGATACCTGTTATACCTGTTGCTATAGTCTCCCTGCAGGAAGTCCTTCAGTACTTTTTTTTTCCTGTTGGTGTAACAGTGCAACATGTAGACTGCAGCCAGGAACTCCTGAATGCTCAGATGAACAAAGCAGTAGACTGTTTGCTTGAAGATCACTCTCTCTCTTTTGAAGATCTGTGTACAAACTCCTGAGTGCACCAAGGCCTCGGTGGTATCAAGACCACAGCGCTCCAGGTCTTCTTGGTAGAACATGATGTCTCCTTTCTCCAGATGTTCAAACGCCAGCCTCCCCAGCTTCAGAAGAACCTCCCTGTCAGCCTTCGTCAGCTTCTGTGGACTCGTCTCATGTCCCTCACCATACTTCTGCTTCTTCCTCTTTGTCAGGACCAGCAGGAAGTGGGAGTACATGTCAGTGAGGGTCTTGGGCAGCTGTCCTCTCTGGTCTGTAGTCAACATGTGGTCCAGAACTGCAGCAGTGATCCAGCAGAAGACTGGGATCAGACACATGATGTGGAGGCTCCTGGAGCTCTTGATGTGAGAGATGATTCTGCTGGACAGGTCTTCATCACTCGATCTCCTCCTGAAGTACTCCTCCTTCTGGGCGTCAGTGAAGCCTCGTACTTCTGTTACCCTGTCCACACACTCAGGAGGGATCTGATTGGACGCTGCAGGTCGGGAAGTTATCCAGACAAGAGCCGATGGAAGCAGCTTCCCCCTGATGAGGTTTGTCAGCAGCACGTTGACCGAGGACTGCTGTGAGACATCAGACACAACCTCATTGTTTCTGAAGTCCAGAGAAAGTCTGCTTTCATCCAGGCCGTCAAAGATGAGCAGCACTTTGCAGACAGCCAGCTGCTCTGCTGTGACCTTCTGTAAGGTTGGATGGAAAACATGGAGCAGCCTGAGAAGACTGTACTGCTCACCTTTGATCAGGTTCAGCTCCCTGAAGGAGAGCGGGATCACCAGACTGACATCTTGGTTTTCCAAACCCTCGGCCCAGTCCAGAGTGAACTTCTGCACTGAGAAGGTTTTTCCAACTCCAGCGACTCCGTTGGTCAGGACCGCTCTGATGAGAGGTTGGTCAGGTAAGGCTTTAAAGATGTCCTGGCACTTGATTGGAGTTTCATGGAGGGGCTTCTTCTGGGAAGCTGTCTCCAGCTGCCTCACCTCATGTTGGGTATTAACCTCTTCACTCAGGCCTTGTGTGATGTAGAGCTCAGTGAAGATCCTGTTCAGGAGGGTTTCACTTGTATCAGTTCCTTCAGTCACATGTTCACATCTCCTCCTCAGACTGATCCGATGTTCATCTAAAACCTCCTGCAGACCACTATCTGCTGAAGGAGAAGGAAACGTGTGAGTAATAAATAAAACAAATAAATAAAAGGGTTCAGAATGAATGTCTTTGCTGTAACAAATGAACCAGGAAGAATCCTGTTTTCAGACATGAAGACCCCAGCAGACAGATATTTAGACTTACTTCGTACAGTGCTGGTCTCACTGTCTCTCTGCACTCCAGCTCTTGTTCTGGATGTGTTCCTCTTCCCTCTGTTGAGATGAACACATCCTTTATAGCGCAGGTATATGTACATAATAAAAACATCTTCCTGTCTGGATTCATAACATAATTCAAAGTTGGACACAGCAAGTTCATCGTATATAGCAACTCACACGTCATCAAAATTAGGGCTGGGCGATATGGCCTAAAAATAATATTGCAATATGTTTAACCTGTATCGCGATAAACACAATATAAATTGAGATATTTAGAAATCCCGTTCCATACCCAACACACCAGTATGAGGATTGTTACATTAAGACATTAAGGGCTATTCATGATCATTTGCATCTCGTCTTCATCTATTGTACATCGTGGATCACGTCGGAACTTTCAAAACACCAAACACAGTAGCCACACAAATACTCGCTCAGTCTGGTCCACAAAGCCCTGCTCCTCCTCGGGAATAATGCTGAACCAGACGGGCTCGGAGGTAAAGACGGGTAAGGGTGTTTGCGGACGCAAAGGACAGCCATAGACTGTAGAGGACAGCCCGCTAGGGGAAGCAGTGAGGTCTGTTGTGTGTACCATACAGAGTCTATGGTTCATACACATACATTCAAAACACTGAATTAATATGAGGTACTGTAAAGCTCTGGCTGCTGATGTTTTCCTTTACTGATTCAACGTCAGCACGTCAGCACGTCAGCACGTCAGCACGTCAGCACGTCAGCACGTCAGCACGTCAGTGACGACAGTAGCAGAATCTCAACACTGACAGGTTTGTGCGTCAGAGCGTCACACAAATATCTCGATCAAGTTGACATTTTCAAGTTGCGGCTATACGCGGGTACAGGGCCGGCTCGTAGCATAGGCAGTATAGGCGAATCCACCCGCAAATAAGGTGGGAAGAAAAAAAGAATTTCAAAATGTTGTCTCCATCCTCGGCTCTGTGTGCGTGTGGCACAGCACATTTTGTGTGAGCGAGCGAGACAGAGAGAGGGCACTGGTTACAGGGATTGTTGTTAGCATCCATAGACTGGATATCCAGGGGTGCACATCACTTTTTTAGTGAGTGACTCAGATGAGTACCAGGAGACAGCGTTTGGTACTCACCCCACACGTAGCGTGGTTTTAATAAGTGCAGTCTTCCTCACTATCCTCCTCAGTGTCTCCTTCACTGTCCTCTAGTTCCTCTTCTTGCATGGTAGATGATGAAGATGCTGCAGATGCACCTCCCTGTCCCTGTTTAAGCCTCAGATTTGCATTCTCCAAAACTTGTTGGCAAAACTGTGAAGTCCTTGCATTTCCTGAGGCCAAGTTGAAGGATCAACTACTAAGAAATGAGCACATGACTTGAAGTCATATCTGATTTCAGATGTGGGAAGTAACTAAGTACACTTATTCAAGTACTGTACTTTGGTACAATTTTGAGATACTTGTACTTTATTTGAGTATTTCTATTTTATGCTACTTTGTACTTCTACTCCACCACATTTATGTAATACCTTTAGTTACTTGACAGATCTGGATTAATGATGTGAAATATAATCAAGTCTTAAATCAGACTTTAGTTACACCTGGAGTCAATTCAGAACTCGGAAGCTGCACAGCATCGAACCGCAAGACCCTGCAGCGCATCGTGAACACAGCTGAGAGGAACATTGATGCCTCACTCCCATCCCTCCTGGACATCTACAACACCCTCCTCACCCGCAAAGCACTCAGCATTGCTGGTGACCCCACCCATCCCTCCACCTGCCTCTTCACCCTCCTTCCTTCAGGGAGGATGCTCCGCAGCCTGAGGTCGAGCACCACCCGACTAAAACACGTTTCTTCCCACCAGGCTGTCATGAGGCTGAACTCTCCCCCCTCCCCCCACTGGACTATAAGTCCCACACACACAGACACTCAAATCCAGCACCAGACACTTTCTTTTTTACACTGCTATGGACAATTTTGCACTAATGTACATTTCCCAAAGATATTGAAGTGACTGTTATCTTGTATATATTGATTGTTGGGTTTTTATTTAGGTCTTAATGTGTGCATATGTATACATGTGTCTTTTGATTGTGTGTATATATATATATATATATATATATATATATATATATATATAGGTTTATAAAACGGACAAGTAAAATCAAGCAATCTGATTGGTTCTTAGCCGTGGTATACTGAGCGTATACCACGGGTAGAATTGTAAGTTACTTTTCACAACAAGTCAGTATCCCTCCGCGTCTGAGATAAACAGTATACAGTTGGGCTGAACCACGCCCCTTAGCTGTGATATAATGAGCATATACCACGGCCTGTCGTGAGCTATTGCTTAAATATACATATTTGCATACATATTTTTATATATTTGTTTTTATATTCGGGATTGTGGGAAACGGTATTTCGATCTCTCTGTACACACAAACTGGGTCAAACATAAAGTTGAGTTTGAGTTCACAGGAGAAACAGACTCTCACTTTGTTTCTGAGGGTCCAGGTTGATCCCTGAAGTCCAGAGGTCTGCCTGTAGACCGGTCACTCTTCAGAGACAGACAGCTGGGGACTGGAGACTCTGCTCTCCGTCTGCAGACACAGAAAATGTTTTACACACATCATTGGATTTTGAAAAGAGCAGCTGAACCTGATTAAAGATTTTTGGACTTGCTCTGAACTTTCTGTTTTTGAGTCATGCTTGCAGGTTTCAGTCTTTACAATTCATTTGTGAGGATCAATAGTTTGACATGTTTGTATTTTATTCACTTAACTTAACACAAAGTCCTACATTCCGAGTGTGATTTCACTAAAGTAGTTTATTTTCTGTCGCTGATGAAGCCAAGGAACCAAGGAAGAAGATCTTCTTTACTTTTCTCTACTGTGTTTCTTTACTGTATGCTTCTCCCTGAGTGTTTAGATAGTTTACATCAGTCTCAGTGATCTCAAACTTATTGGACACCATTAAAACCCTTTAACTGCCGGACCAAGAAAAAAGCTATGGAAAGATTATTTGTTTGCATTTTTCTATCAAATGGGCCACAAACAATTTTAATTTTTTTTACTGACCACACAGTTTTGTTTTTATGAGCCTCTACCAACTGGTCAAGCTGGCCTTTTATGGTAAAAGTGCATTTTCAACAATCATCATATACAGTACAGTATTTGTATGCATCAAACTCAAATAAAACACAAACTGAAATACATTTGTTTCTTTTATGGAAAATGAGCAATATATACAACCAGATATATTCATAAAAGATAATAAATTATAATTGTAAAAAAAAAGAAATGGAAAAAAGTAATGTTAAGGGTTTTTCATAATAAAAGAAAGACTTGCTCATCTTACTGTATATGCTGAATTGGCCTAATAAGAAACCACTGGCTTAACAGCAAATGTCTACATCCTGTGTTGGCCTAACTTGCTCATCTGTGTGCAACTTTGGGCTGAATGCCATGCATGAAAGGTGCTATATCAATTATTATCACTCTTTCACTCTGAGACTCATAAGGCAGTACTAGATTTAGTAATATTACCATGAATCTAGCTATTTATTTACCATATTTTATTGGAAAACATCTCTGAAACTCTGTAAAAAGTAATATTGCTAGTTTACCATAAAAAGCTAATTTGACCGGTTGGTTGAGCATATTTTCCAAAAAATAATTACACCCTTGTTAAAACTTTTTTTGTGCATCAAGTTATCTAAATATGTTCAGTAAGTGCTCTGACACTAAAATATGTCAAAATTGATATGGTTACCTTACAAAAGTTGACCAAAAAGAGTGATTTCTTCAGCAGTGATTTTTAGCATGCCAACTTCCTCAGTGGAAGCTAGCTGAAGGGCTTTCTGTTCAAACCACAATGACATCTAGAGGTTGTTTTGTGCATAACACGTCAACCAGAAGGTAGAGCTGGCTGAATCAGATGGAGTTACACTTCTTTTTTTTTTTTTCAACAAGATATGAAGATACAAAATGTGCTCTACCAAATGGTGGCGCTGGCAGTTAAAGGGTTAACAACATCCTGCCCACCAAGTTCTTACTCTTGTTATTTTCCATCTGAAAAAAATCTATTCAAAAAGATGTTTCTGACCCACGCCACGCGGGTTTAACTTTCTTCTTCTTTGTTTCTGTACTGCGCTCATGTAGTTACGAAATAACAGTTTAGATGATCAGATAACATAAACACTGAATCCTCTTCAGGTCAGTTCACAGGAGAAACAGACTCTCACTTTGTTTCTGAGGGTCCAGGTCGATCCCTGAAGTCCAGAAATGTGCCTTTAGACCCGTCACTCTTCAGAGACAGAGAGCTGGGGACGGAAGATGTGTCCTCCTTCTCATCTTTTGAATCACTCATCTTCTCCAGTCTGACAGATACACCAGTAACACTGTGCGCACGCACACACACACACACACACACACACACACACACACACACACACACACACACACACCACACACACACACACACACACACACACACACACACACACACACCACACACACACACACACACACACACACACACCACACACACACACACACACACACTCAACCACACACACACACACCACACACACACACACCACACACACACACACACACACACACACACACACACACACACACACACACACACACACACACACACACACACAACACACAACACACACACACACACACACACACACACACACAACACACACACACACACACACACACACACACAACCACACACACACACACACTCATTGAATAAAAAACATCATAATGACAAACTTTGGTTTCAAAACAACACATAAGTCAGACTTCTCACAGGTTGCTCATGTAACTATCATAGGAGGCTGTGGCTCAGTGAGGGAGTGCGCTGAACTTCTGATTACTGCAGTCAGCATGTTGTGGGTTTGCCCACATACTGTCACTTTGGATAAAAGCAGAGATTGCAAAAGTACACACACCTTTACTCAAGTGGAAGTACAGATACTCGTGTTTAAAAATACTCTGGTAAAAGTAGAAGTACTGACTAAACTTCTTTACTCCCCGTTAGTATATGTTGGTAGTGCGTGAGGCCATATGTACAGATATGTACATGGGACATGAAAACAGTGCATCTCATATTGACAAAAATAAACCTCGCTAACCGAGTTTTCCAAATCACTCTAAAAATAAGCCGTTGTGATACACGTGTAGACAACATCTGCAGAATCATAAATGATCATTACATTGGGGTCATTAAACCATTATTTCGCTAAGATAAAAAACATTAAAGTTTTGGATTTTAGTGTAATTCACAAATGTTCCACCAGATGGTGCCACACACACCCAGGGGGAAAAGATGATATATTAACCCAGTAATAAGTGGGCAAAATATGGGTACATTAGTGTTTAAAGTCGGGGGAACTGTTTTAATTCAGGACCACGGTGAAAAGATAACACATTTACCCAGAAATAATTGCCTGAATCATGGGTATATTAGTGTTTAAAGCCGTGGGAAATGTTTTAATTCAACAGGAGAGGGTAATTCAATTGTTACCCAGGGAACAGGGCTGCAAACATGGCTACATGAGTGTTAAAATGCTGTCAAACTGTTTTAATTCAGTCACAATTGTCGTTTTTAGACGGTGTACATTGGACTCAATAAACATACAGAGTTATGGACATAAATGTGTCAGTATAGACGGGATAATGTACATATTAATAATATTTAATTAGTTAAATGTACAATGAGCTAAAAACAGCAGAATCACTGCTGTTAGTAGGGTCTCAGAGACCCATAGACCCAGAGACCCAGGGTACAGCACCTCACTACCTTACCCAGAAAACAGGGCTCTGATCAGGGCTAAAGTAATGTTGTAAACTGGTGAATCTGTTTAAATGCAGGCAGCAGAGTCACTGCTTTTAGCAGGGTCTCAGAGACCCATTGACCCAGAGACCCAGGGTACAGCACCTCACTGTCTTACCCAGAAAACAGGGCTCTGATCAGGGCTAAAGTAATGTTATAAACTGGTGAATCTGTTTAAATGCAGGCAGCAGACTCACTGCTTTTAGCAGGGTCTCAGAGACCCATAGACCCAGAGACCCAGGGTACAGTACCTCGCTGTCTTACCAGTGTGAGAAAAAGTTTTTAGAGAGTACTTGTCCATGGACAAGTGAGTTTGGCAATTTACTTGTCCGAATACATTTTTCACTTGTCCAGAATGGACAAAAATTGGGGCCACTGGAATCTTCTTCTTCGCCATCGTATTTTACATTTTCCCACGGTTTTTACGACACCGCTAACGTAAGTGAGCGGTAAGATTTGACTGCATCACACATAGGGTTGGGTATCGTTTGGATTTGAACGATTACGGTTCTGCTTTTCGATTCCGGTTATTTTCGGTTCTCGATTCCGGTTCTTTGAGAGGGTAAAAATAAGTCCCATGACAAACTGGGAGAAAAATATATTTATGAAAACATTAAGTCAAATCTGTATTCCTATTTACAAATCACTTCATACTGTTGAATTTCGTTACGGTTATTGAATAAAATTATATAAAAATAATCTCTGCATTGTTTAGTTAGTTCTAAGTGGTGCAGTTTGAGAATGTACAATTGGCCCAGTCTCCTCTGATGTTACACTGCAACCTGCCTGTGAGACAGAGTCCAACCACACATGTCCAACACATAGGCCTAATAATAATGATACATTATATTTATAGCCTATAGGCCTAGCGCTTTTCTACAACTCAAAGACGCTTGCATGCTTACACATGTTCTGCAATACACATGCTGCAGCTGCTCACTGTTTGCAAAAGTAAATAAATAGTATTTTCATTTCAATAATGTACTTTCTATACCCTGCTTCATAAACAATACTGACATCCCTGTGCTCCTCGAGTCTGGGGGTCCGGGGATGTGAGGACAGCGCGAGGACACAGACAGGGAGGCTGCTTTACTTCATAAAGGAAATGGCGTCAATATTAACAACATAGGAGCTAAAACGCTTAATAACCTTCATTACGTGTTAGAGAAAGAACATAAGAAAGTTTGACAAATATGAGGCTGTTAAACGGGCAGCGGGTCCGCTGTGAGTAGAAAGAGAGAGAGAGAGACACTGAACTGCACCGTGCAGCGATCAGATGATCCGGAGCATAGAGAGAGAGAGCTGCGGTCCGCGGGGCTCCGCCTCCTGTCCTCACAACTCTTATTAATCACGGTACCGGACAATTGTTATTTGTTCCTACTCGGAACCGAGTTTTGCTTCCCAACCCTGCCACTGTGCTACACTTCCCGCCCCCCCCCGCCCCCGTCTAACAGTACAGAAAGCGGCGAGATGCATTTCCTTAGGAATCGACAAGCAGAACCGAAACTAACATTTCTAAACGAACAATGGCGGACACGGACAATTTGCGAACGAGTTCTGCCTTTTGAAAACTGAATTTATCTATAATTTGTTAATAAATGAGGGCGAAAAACGTCACTTGTCCACCGGACAAGTCAATTGAAAGATCTACTTGTCCGATATTGTAAATAACACGTCCCGGACGGTGGGACGTGTGCTTTTTCGCACACTGCTTACCCAGAAAACAGGGCTCTGATCAGGGCTAAAGTAATGTTATAAACTGGTGAATCTGTTTAAATGCAGGCAGCAGAGTCACTGCTTTTAGCAGGGTCTCAGAGACCCATTGACCCAGAGACCCAGGGTACAGCACCTCGCTGTCTTACCCAGAAAACAGGGCTCTGATCAGGGCTAAAGTAATGTTATAAACTGGTGAATCTGTTTAAATGCAGGCAGCAGACTCACTGCTTTTAGCAGGGTCTCAGAGACCCATAGACCCAGAGACCCAGGGTACAGTACCTCGCTGTCTTACCCAGAAAACAGGGCTCTGATCAGGGCTAAAGTAATGTTATAAACTGGTGAATCTGTTTAAATGCAGGAGACCTCCAGCATGAGTCCCTAACAGTGGCACTCCTCCATAACCTTGCACACCATGAGTCCCCGGGCCCCCGCAGTTAAGCACTCCCCCACGGACTAAACCCAGATATTCACACCCTCCAGAATCTCGTGCCCCTGGTAAGACTAACAAGGGGTGGATTTTGTGGTGGTCTACCGTCCGCCCTTAAGCATCCAACTGCGGACTCCTGACACTCAGACACTTTTCATATTTGTAGGTTACCAGTCCCACGCTTGTCTGGCAGTTATGCACATGGGGTTTTGTCCAAGGCAGTGTGCTTAAGTCAGGGGGCCCGGGGACTCAAGGTGCGCATGGCAGGCCGCCTATGAGCGGCCAAAATGTTTTAATTAACTCGTTATTGTCGTTTTTAGACAGTGTACATTGGACGACATAAACATACGGAGTTATGGACATAAACGTGTCAGTATAGACAGAACAATGTACATATTAATCATATTTAATTTATTAAATGTACAATAAACTAAAAACAGCAGAATCACTGCTTTAAGCAGCATATCACACGTCCAGGCAGACATACACACACCCAGGGGGGGAAAGAGAACACATTGACCCAGGAATAAGTGCTCAAAACGTGGGTAAAAGTGTGTTAAAAGGTCGGGGAACATGTTTCAAATGACAGCAGACTGCTGCTTGTTTGCAGGCTGACACAGTTCACTTGTCTCACACACACACCCAGGGGGGAAAAGTGAACACATTGACCCATGAATAAGTGTCTGAATCATGGGCACATTAGTGTTTAAAGTCGGGGGAACTGTTTTAATTCAGGACCAGGGTGAAAAGATAACACATTGACCCATGAATAAGTGTCTGAATCATGGGCACATTAGTGTTTAAAGTCGGGGGAACTGTTTTAATTCAGGACCAGGGTGAAAAGATAACACATTTACCCCGCTAAAGTGTTCAAAACATGGGTATATTAGTGCTCAAACTCGATGAAACTGTTTTAATTGCGGAGGTTTTACGTTTTGGTTCACTCGTCTCACACACCCAGAGTGTTAACAACATTTTTTACAAATTTTATAAATTAGTCTAGAGCTCCATCTATTGTAATTTGAGTGTATTACACGTCTGTCCATGGAACGCGAGTTGTGCGCCATTTGAGTGGAGTAAACTGATAGGCAGCTGGAGTAACATGTACATTGAGACGCATTGGGACATATCATCGTCACTTTCAATGTTAACCTTGTACATAGGAGGCACAATATGCTTACTCAAGTAAAAGTAAAGAAGTAAGGGCTTTGAAATGTACTTCAGTAAAAAGTACCCATAACTAGCAGCTGTTTTAAAGAGTACCTGACCTCCCTTTATATTAATAGAACAATAATGTCATTGTTAGCTAATGAATGTTTCCATGCTGAACAACGGCAACATGACAACGTTTTCATTGGTCCCTCTTCTTTAGAGAAGACCAGGAAATGATGGATACACGGATC